GTTGTTGCTGATATCCGTAGGATGAAGCTGGCCAGTTAGCAGTTGAGCGAATCAAATTTGGCCAGTTGGTTGGCATCGGTGGAACGTAGTTATAGCTCGGTGCTGATGGACGCCACAAGGAGCCATAAGTGGACCCTGAATTGAGATTTGTTATTTGGATGATTCGAAGAAGTCAATAGGAAACCGCAGAATTTGTTAATCGAGTTTGAATTGAAATTTTGATGGCACAAATAGGATTCTCATTTGGTGAAAGTGATCGATGTGGTCTATTGATTCAATGGAACAGCAGGCGATTTCTGGTGAAACATGCGATTTTTTGCTGCCGAATCAAAGAGACCTCACCAATTAGATGGAATACTGTCGAAACTCGAAATCTTATGAATATTAATGGATTTTTGAGGGTGAAAGGGACTTGCGGGAGTTTGCTTCTGATAGCTGTTAATAAGATTGTGACAAAGCTTTCAGCTAGATCGCTTGTTAACTTCGAATATTTCACAAAATTTCACCGAATCTGGCGATTTCGATTGCATTCTCTTGGAATGTTAAATGCTTATCGCTCGAGGAAAAGAAAAACTTATTCAGAGGTATTGTAACTTACAGATTGGGCAGCAGAAATATGGTCCAACATCAACCGAATTGGTTGCATAGCAATAGCTCTGTGGTGGGCATGCAGGCCATGGGCGTTTTGGATCACACTGGATCGGCAACGACGGACCGCCGGGACATTGACCCCGCTGAGGGATGCTCGACGGCTCACCGATTATTGGTGCATATTGTCCTGAAAAGTGCTCGTTCCGGTTAAGTTTCCTCTAAGTTCTTTTCTAAATTTGATCTGTTGCTATTTGGAAACATCCTAGTTTCATTGGAATTGTTGAAAACTAAGTTTCCGGGAGATTTTTGTGGCGAAAAATAGAATTTTCGAATGAGGCAGTGAAAAGATCAACTCTAGATTAGTGCCGTTGGGTTGATTGATCTGCTTGCCATTTCACATTGTAACGTACGGAAATACATAGGCAAGAGGTAAATTAGCGAACAGGTAAATTAG